AAAATAAAAGTCACTTGTGGGCGATTACATTATAAATTGTTGGGTTTTGTGCATTAACGCCATGACCTACCAATAATGCACCGTGAAGAGCGTGCATGCGAAATGACAAGTAATTATAGCACGTACTACTCTGCATGCATCGCAACAGATATCGGAAACGTGGTGTGTTATGCGAGAAAGAAAGCTTTTGCAGTTTGTGTTTTTTCATCAGCGGAGCTGTTTAGGCTTAGCCATTATTTGTGCATGCAGCCTATCAGGAGATTAGCATTGTCACAAATGAGTATGTGCCCGTAGAAACTGGGTGAACCCACTACGAACAATAGGCTGTCTCATCCGGACTTGTCCCGACATGCTTGTGAAGTTTTCTCACGTTGTACGCGGGCGCTGTGAAGGACGAAGTCGCCGACGCACGGCGCCTGGGCAGTTCCTGTTCGCCCACAACTATGGAGTGATGCATGAGAACCGGGGATCGCTGGTGACAGGGGTGCACCGGAGCACATTGTCAGCTGGGCAATGCCACCTTACATCCAAGGCTTTTGCACAAAATTGAGAAAATCCGTCGTAAGAAAAAATTACGCGTAGCGATGTATCTGTTCTCACCTGCAGCGACGAGCATATAAGGCAAAGCCAGCGTGATAGAAGGGCATCGATCCATAATACCATGGGCTATTCTAGATAAGTTTGTTTTCGGCACATTATTTTGCTTCTCAGAGCACATATGTTTTTTAGACGCAATACCTTATGAATTAATATATTAGAGGTTACTTGTTACTTTGGCTGAGTGATCAAATCACACGCTTTCAAGACTTCGTGTGGCGGACAGGCGATGTTGAAACCAATTGTGAAGGGTACAGGAGAGAAACGTGCAGAATCGAAAATAGTCTGTCTTGTCTTTTGTTTTATATCATTAGGCGGCATGGTAAATCGGCCTTTTCAATTTATCATTCTAACAGACGACTGTGAGTTTAGGCAAATCGAGCAGTACTGATGGCGAATTCAGTTTAGAAAACATAATGGAATGACTTCACGTTCTGACATCGTAAGTCCCAGCACAGAAATCGAGAGCCACATACACGGCCGTTTGCAAGCTTACTTAGAACACTTTAAATCTACACGCCTATGTGCTCGTTTTGCATGTTTGTTGAAAATAATACATTATAATTCAAACAGGAAAGGTGCATGTCTTATGCGGCGAACGTGGAAGTCGTGGTATGACCGTACACTGGTGTGATGCGGATTTGCTGAGAGCCGATTTTCCTCGCGAAACGTATACGTATACGTGTGTGTGTGTGTGTGTGTGTGTGCGTGTGTGTGCGCGCGTGTGTGCGTGTGTGTGTGTGTGTTTTACACTGCGGCTTGTTATATTTTTTAAGAACATCCCCGATAGTGCGAATTAATGCAACAACAGGTGTGCAGAAGGCCTTTCGCGTACAAGTGCTATACAGAGAGCGTGACGTGCCGTCTTACAGTTTTTCAATTTCCCGAGTGAGTGCGTCAACGTATAGTCTCTTAAACAAGCACTCTAATCTCGTTCGCATAACTGAGCTCCTGAAAATGCTTCCGTTGCAAAGTTTAATAAATTGTCGAGTGCAATAACGTACAGGTGTCATTAGTAATTGCAGAGCTGCTCGAATCCATCCGCGTCCTCGTTCAAGTGTTGCTCTCTCGCAAAGACCACCAACGCTTTGTGTTGTCAAGCAACTGAGTTTATGCGGCGCCAGACAGGCCGGCTTGTTTGGTTTGAGCACAAGGCGACGTCTTGTGTCGTTGAGGCCACAGCGCGTTTGTTCGCTTCGAGCGGCTGCGGTCTGACGGGTGGGCTCTGCGGCCATGAGATCTTCGCGGCGTCATTTGAACCCTCTCGGGACCGATAGTTTGGCTCAGCGAGAGATTGCGGTGCCAGCTTTCCGTCACCGCTCGTTAAGCAATCGAACGGTGCCTTTACACTGATTTTTTTTAATGCGAAGTAATACAGTAAAAAAAAAGCGATAAAAGTGGGCAGATTATCGATCAAGTGAACCCAGTTTGCCGCAATGCTGCGGGCGGAAAAATAGACAGCCACTACACGGAAGGTCAAACGGCAATCGAACACCATTAACTGCATTAAACTTGCAGCATACTTCCAGAAGTGGCAATTCGCTCCTCCGTATTTAATCATCACCACCACCACCACAACTATAACTGCGCCCACTGCAAGGCAAAGGTCTCTGCCTTGTTCCGCGAATCAACCCAGTCGTGTGCTTTCTGCTGCCATGTTACACCTGCAAACTTCTTAATCTCATTTGTCCACTTTACTTTCTGTTTCCCCCACGTGCGTTTGCCTTAATTCTCTAGACATACAATCAGCTATGCTTAATGACCAGCGGTTATCCTGCCTGTATATACGCGCTACGTGCTTGGCCCATGTCCAGTTCTTCTTGATTTCAACTATGATACCCTTAACCCCCGTTTGTTCCCTGACCCACTCTGTTTTCTTCATGTATCTTAAGGTTACAGCTTTCATTTTTTATTATCCATCGTATTTCAATGTCTGTGAATTTGTGAACATTGCGACAGAAATGTGAACGTAGGTTAAGCAGTAACCGATAAAAAATAGGGCTTTTTTTTCTGTGTAAGGTACTAAATATATATAATATGCTGGAAACACGAATTAAGTCAAAAAGTACTCGTAAATGGTAACAAGAAATCGTAGCGACCAACCTAAGCCTCCGTATACCGTGCCAGTTTAACTGTTATACGCTTACTGAAGAAGTGACAGATTTAAAACAGACACTGGTTCACGCGTCACAATTATGTTAATAAAGTATGCCTAATAACACGGGCATATTGAGAAGGTATTTTACCCCTGGCAATAACACTGCATGCAGCCAGTGAGTTAGAAAAGACGGAATTCATTTACGGTGACTGCGACATTTGCTAGCACCATTTGCTAGCAACATTGTTGCGTGCAGCGTCCGTAAGAACACTCCAATGCTTCACAGTGCAGACACCTTTAGTTCAAATCTAGAGCCTTATTGTGTTACTTATGTGAATATCTTTTATTCACCGAACTTGATCTTTCATAATCCCCACACACATTTTTCATGTCGTCAAACGTATACTGGCATTCTACATACGTTTCTATATTTATGTTTCTTTTTATTTATTTTTACTTAAAAATAATGGAGTTGTCATAATTTATGAAAGACGGCGGCCTGTTTTGACTTGGTCGTTAGGATGTGAAATTTAAAAAAAAAGATTTTATGGTTTTAAGTTTGAAGTCTTGGCATCATTAGCTTTATAGTACGAGCTGTTTAAGCCCGTAGTAGAGCAGGCAGTTACGCAGGCACATTTCTAGCTGCCTTGAGCAGCATGGGTGCAAGACAACACGTGAAAAACCTTGTTAGATGCTCATCAACAGCAGCAACAATTGTTACTGCATAAGAACAGTGGGTCACAACTCTTACCGTCGCTGAGACGCCGAGTGAGTGTCATCAACGATATGAGTACAGAACGATTCAGACTCGTACAACACAGGTTTACGCACTCAATGTTAATATCTGGTGAAAAAATGGTGAAATACTTGCGCTTACCCTATGACATTTGGAAAGGCCAAAACACATAGCAGAGTCTGCAACCACGGTGTGAGAATGCCACAGCGCCGCTCAAGACGGGTGATGCCCCGATTTAGCCACCTTCGTTCATTGTTTCGTTGAGCAGCTGTGCCTGGTTTCCTGCACACTCATTTCCTTGTATCGTTCATCATGCTTCTCTAAACAACCACCGAACTAGAGTTGGGATGTCGCTTGTGATATGACTTGCGATTCTCGCTAAGTAAGGGTCCTTACAAGAGGAGGCAAGTGCCATGTATGCATGAATTCTACCGGTTCCCGCTCGTCGCACCATTGAAAATGTCAAAACAAAAAAAAAACTGAAAGAAAAACACAGGTGGAACAGTTGTTTATTGTTGATTCATGTTTTTTATCTCTTTAAACTTGTGAATGGCAAGAAACGCAAACGATCGTTCTTCTTTCCACTATAGATCTTCGGGCGCGAATGCTGTAGGCCCGTGTGCTCAGATTTGGGTGCACGTTAAAGAACCCCACGTGGTCGAAATTTCCGGAGCTCTCCGCAGCAACGTGTCTCATAATCATATAGTGGTGTTGGGACGTTCAACCCCTCAATCAATCAATCAATCAATCAATCAATCAATCAATCAATCAATCAATCAATCAATCAATCAATCAATCAATCAACTATAGGTCTTGGGATACTAGGCAAGTTAAGAGCACGCATGTGCCTTGAAACGCCTAAGCTATAGCACTCCCTTTACTGGGGTTAATATCCACAGTTTGTGAAAACGCAGCGAAGCACTTATAGTGGACCACGAACTGACATAGGTTATTTAGAAGGCACGCCTAGTGCTGTATACGTACTTGAGAACGCTTACACATAACCTATTATGCAAAATAAATTCGTACTTACTTTCAAACGCGATTAATATTCGGTAGTTGTGGCTTTATATGTGCTACATAATGTAAGAACCCATAGAGATGGGGGACAAATGATCTTATGTCTAAACTTCTGTGTGATCAACACCAACAGCGTAAGGGGCAGACCATTCTGGGCGCATTTATACCCTTTGCAATATGTCGCGTTTATAAGGAAACAAAATATTTGCTGTCTATGACACGTTCACAAAGCCGCGAACCCGTACGAATCTGAAAGAACGAAATTCAGACAAATTCATATACCACTTCGCACGCTGACTCGCTTTCCTTATAGTTGTCACAAACATTATCGCCATGGAGGGTCACATTACAGTCCACGCATCGTCACATTTGTGGTATCAGTGACACGATACGGTGCGCGTATACCGCATCAGGAAATGTCATTATGAGCACTCAATCAAATAACACAAATTATCGCATGAAGTAACTAACTTGTGCTTCACTTCAACTAAGCTGAAAGACCTTAACGTGCTGCTGTTTCAAACAAAATGCTTTCCACCTCCTTTGCAGGTTGCCGCGTGCAAACGTTAGCGCATGTTTCCTGTTCCTGTGCCTCGTCGGTGCGGTCTCATCACTCGAGAACGGCACCTCGCCGTCGGTGGTGCCCAACCTGTGCAACCTGGCTCAAGAGGAGCCCATGTACTGTCGCTGCTCTTCCGAACACTTCGAGGCGGACACCACGGGCGTAGTGTGCTACGTGGGGAAACCGCTTACCGGAAGCCACGCCGTTTTCCAGGCGCTGCGGCGCCAGGGTGCGCTAGCCTCCGTCACCTTCACCGTGTACGGGGAGGACTATCGGCTCGACTTCGTCCCCAGTGACGCGCTTCGCCGGTTGAGCCGACTGGAAAAACTGCGTTTCACGGACTGCAACCTGGGCGTGCTTCCAACGAAGGCCTTCTACAAACTGTCCGCGCTCACACTGCTGCAGCTGGAAGGCAACGACATCATCGACCTGCAGCCGGACGCTATAGCGCACCTGCCTAGGCTCGAAAAGCTCGAGCTGGGCGAGAATAGGCTGAGGAACGTGAAGGCCGGCTGGTTCTCGCGGCTTCCTTCGCTCACCGTGCTCTTCTTGGGCAAGAACCAGATCGAATACGTCGAGGATCTGGCTTTCGCGGAGCTGGGGGCACTCCGGGAACTCGAACTCGGGGACAACTTCATACACGTGGTGACCAATCGGACGTTCAAGGGCCTCGCCCAGCTGACAAGGCTCGACCTGTACCGCAACAAGTTGATGCGGCTCGATGCCGGCATATTCGTCAGCACGCCTCTCCTGGAAGAGCTGGACCTCAAGCTGAACCAGATCTCGGTTATCGATCCGCTGGCGTTCGACGGATTGGCACGGCTGAGGCTAATCTACCTGGCCAACAACCAGCTGCGAATACTGCCCGCCGACATGTTTGTGGGCGCGCCCAACCTGGATCTGGTAGACCTGGAGCAGAATCAGTTGGTCACTCTCACGTGGAGGACGATACACAACCTCAAGTACCTGAAGGACGGCGCTGATTTCACGATGAGCCTCACGGGTGAGTGAATGCGGCTTATTAGTTGTCCAGACACGGTTGTCTCTTCTTATCGCTGCAGCTGATAACAAGGTTGGCCGCACAAAAAGCTGGGCGCAGATCACTGGAAATTTCAGTTTTCAAATCGCCCGATGGCGATGTGGTGAACCTGACGTTGGACACTAGAGAAAATAAAACACGTATGGTGTAACAATGTTCAAACCAGGGTCTACGTAGCGTCCTTATGACCTTAGAAAGAATCTCGGTATAAGTATGCGAAAGCCAACAGATTGGGCAATGCAAGCCATTGTAGCGAGGAAGGCGACTGGGCTACAAAAATTTCCTGAACACATGTAAGGAAGAGCCCACTGAACCAGAAATGAAATCGGATCAATATTAAATGTTGGGATTGCTCGAGAAGTACATTGTATAGAATGTACATAACCGCAACAAGTACTGGCTTCGTAGTTTCCTGCTTTAATTAGATGAATGACCATACATGCTTTCATAAATATTCTCTATAGGCCTACTGTGTTTGTTTCCGCTACGCAGAAATTATTTGCTCGGAAAGTGTGCTTGCCAGGTTAAAAAAATTATAAAAACGCCTGACTTATAGGCGCTTCGCGCAGCACAGTCACAGAGAAAGCTGGTAGAGTGGCCTTGCAGAGCCTTTTTTAAACACTATTTGGGTAACTGAGGTTACCCACCATGCCATAAATCATAAAACATTGTGTAGTAGGGAGGCATTCACTATCATCAACCAATCAATCAAGTGTTTATTTCAGCTTGTACGCAAAAACTGGGGATGGTGAGAAAAAATAGCAGTGATTTTAACGCTGATTAACGGGCCTCGCCATCCGTACATGTCGTCAGTAGGCCCAAAGTGAAAGACAATTACTGCACGGAAGGTTCATACAAAACACTATGTATTTACAAAACAAATAAAAAAAGAAATTAAACTGCTGGTACAGACATACGTATCCTAATTATCGCCTGCGCTGCGAGTACAAAACAATAGCATATATTACATCCTTCGTCACTCTTCTAACAAATGTGGTACCAGCTACACACTTGCAAGGAATTTCGTGCAATTTTTTTTATGCTGTGGCGGACGACGTAGAAAGAACTATGCCCTAAGCTTTAGTGATGAATTGGAGCATTTGACGACCTACTCGTTACGCAATTTGCATACTTTGACACCTGATTTTTTCTTGGCTGTTCTATAACGCTTTATTACTCATATTAACGTGATTCCTTTCTCGACATCAAGCCTGCCTATAGGGTGCGATTGCAACGGAGTTTCAAGCGACGGTGTAGGTCAGTGGTAGAACACTGGGCTGGCAGACAGGGGACCTGCGTTCGAATACCATCATGATATTGGTACTTTTTATTCTCATTTCGCGTGATAATGGTTACGGACACAGGTGGTGGTGGACAACTACGACACACGCGAGCATTGTTGTGATCTCATAACAGCTTTCGCAGAAAAATATGACCAGAAATTGAAAAAATAAAAAACCCATGAAATCGCCAATTGGAAGCAAGGACAGCAAAATTGGCAAAATGTAGCCACGCGTGTTTGAAAACAACATTCAGATATCTATTTAAATGACTAAAAAGAAAAGCTCGTCGGTGTAAATGTAAATAAGTAGATCACAGACCACTAAAAGGCATGACTTGTCGACTTTAGTATTAATTACGTTCACGATCATGAAGTCTCGGGTGGTACTATTTTCAAAATAATCCGTGACCTCACAAAGAATGACGGGACATGGTCAGAGAACACCTATGACCTGGTGGCACTGTGTGAAAGTATGGACTGCCTTTTAATTAAAGTTTGAAAGCAGCATGACTAGTCCTTTCAGAAGATGGAGCCTCCATTTCATTACAGATACTGCAATCCCCATGGGGAATTTTAGCAGGGTGGAAATACAGCATATTGTCGAACAAATGCAGGCAACAAAACAAAGCAGGGTAGAACAAATACATGTTACGCGAACGAGTACATTGTTTTAGGCTATTGCGCGTACAAAGCCAGGCCCTATACAAAACATCAACTAAATAATAAAAAAAACTCTCCAAAAAGAAATACATATTATGAAGGAGGTCATATTGGAAAATAATTAACAGATGTTTGCAGCAAATGAAGACAGTGAAGGTTGTGTAACTCGGGTATTAATCAGGGTATTTCATTCAGTCACCGTTCATGAAAAAAAAAAAAAGAATATTTGAAACAATTGTTTTTTACGCTGAATGGAGTAATTGTTAGGCCATTAATGCCTCTGTCTTGTGGCATAACCAGAAGAAAAAGTAATTATATTAGATATGTTTATATTGTACTGTTTATTGATAAGTTGAAATAAAAATTTTAGTCGGGAAGGATGATTGCGATCCGTAAGTGCAGGCAAGTTGGCCTGTTTTAGAAGTGCAGCTGCAGATGTACGGGTGAAGTTATTGAAAATGAAGTGAACTACCTTGCGCTGCACACGCTTGAGTTTTTTAATGCTAGTTTGTGTATAGGGTTTTCAAATAATGGCGGCATAGTCAAGGAACGGAAGTATAATTGTTTTATATGCTAATAAGTGTACGGAACATGTAGACAGTTTGAACGCCCTCCTAAGAAAAAAAAAACAATTTACGGTAGGCGTTGGCGGTTACTTTATCGATGCGTACATTCCATTTTAGGTTGTTAGTTATCCACAGGCCCAGGTACTTAAATTCTGTTACCTCAGATAGAGAAACATTGTTAGCTGTGTAATTGAAACTGTGCTTATTCTTTTTTGAGTAACGCACATGAAAACAGTTTTCTCGAAATTGACCGACATCTGCCAATCTTTGCACCAGGCAACAACCTTCATAAACGAATCATTTTGTAAGATTTGATCACTAGAACTACCTATTTCGGAGTACAGGACACAGTCGTCGGCATAAAGTTTAATCTTAACAGGTATTTCTTTTGCAAGGTCATTTATATTGAGCAAAAATAAGAGAGGCCCAAGAACCGAACCCTGGGAAACGCCAGTCACTGAAAAGTTTCCCAGAATCGTGATTCTGAAAGGTAACAAATTGCCTATGCCCAATAAGGTAATCTGAAATCCAATCAATTAGTCTAAAATGTTTAAGAATTATGTCTAATTTATGCAGTAATTTCTGATGAGAGACTTTATCGAAAGCTTTCAAAAATTCTATGAATATAGCGTCTGTCTGTTTTCCGTTGTTTATATTACTTGCAATGTCGTGTACTGTTTGTAGCAATTGGGTTATTGTTGAATAGCTTTTACGGAATCCATATACTGATTGATTGTTAGTAATTTATGTTTTTCAAGGAATTCCAAAATGTGTTTGTGAATGATGTCTTCTAAGATTTTGCATGCAGTTGAAGTTGATGAAATCGGGAGGTAATTTTTTATGTGCTGCTTATTTCTGCTTTTGTGGAGTGGTTTAACTTTGGCGATCTTCCAGTCGTTCGGCACGTGGCCCAATTGCAAGAATTTCGCAAACAAGACCTTTAAATATTTGGGTACCTATTCCGCATAGCGTTTAAGAAAAAAAATTCAGGATGTAATTTAGGCCAGAGGATTTTCTGATATCTAGATTTAGTAATATATTAAAAATGTGATGTGAACGTCAGGTACAGGAGGCAGGACAACGTCGTAAAATGGTTGAATGCCGTCATCTCGAGTGAAAACAAATTTGAAATGTTCATTGAATATGTTTGAAATTTCTTTGGTTTCACGAATTAACGCACCATTTACGTCAAACTCATTGCACTCCTCAGACTTGGGGCTAATACTTCTCCAAAATTTTTCTGGGGCTGATGTAATATAACGAGGCAATAAGTCACCACAATAGCACTTCCTATCACTACTGACTTGATTTTTAAGTTTTAATGTTAGTTCACGGATCTCGTAGACATCGGGACATAAATTATTTTTTTTTTCTTTAATCGTTTTAGCCGTCTTTTCAATTGAAGTGTTTTACAAAAAAATCCAGGGATTTTTATGTTTCTTCTTTTTAGTTATTCGTGGTATGATAGAAGTAATGCAAGTGTTTATAATGTATTTGAACTGAATACATAGTTCATTTACATCGCATTTGCTGTTTTCAAATTCATTAAAATGATACGCGAGGGTATCAATGATTGAAAGGTCATCTGCTCGAGAGAAATCAGGGAAAGATAAACGTTGCAGTTTTTGTCTAATACAGTATTACTTAACCTTAGGACCGTGGCTTGGTGGTCAGAAATTCCCGGAACTACCTCGCAGCATATTCTAGCGTCGATTGATCCGCTGACAAAAATAAATCCACATTGAATTTGGAAGATCCATGAATTCTGGTGTAATCATGTACAACCTGAAGGAGATTATATGTAAACGCAATGTTTAGCATTGCTTCTCCCACGAGGTCGTGTTTTGTGAGTGTGAGTGTCAGTCAGTGTATACTAGGTAAATTAAAATCCGCTGAAAGAATTATTTGGTCGTTAGGTCGTATATTTTCATGCAAGTAGTTTTCAAGCTCTTCAAACATGGAAACTGGAGCATCTGGAGGTCTGTATATAGCTCCTAAAATGTACCTGATGCCACTGAAATAAGCCGTACAAAAAATGCCTTCAACATTGTGTATATTCGGCATTCGCAGGATATTTATGGAATACTTGAAGAGAATACAGACACCTCCACCTTTACTATCTCGATCTTTCCCAAATGCTCTATAGCCAGAGAGAACATACTCACTGTCATATATTGAGTCATTTAGCCACGTCTCTGTCAGAACTGCAACAGGAGACCCAGACCCAACAACGGCCCAACAACAGACCCAGAAACGGCCATATGCTCCAGTCAATTAATGATTTTACTATAGTGGACCATTCTTTCTGTAAGAAGCTTTGAAGTAACTTAGCCATGCGAGAACGCGTGAATTCACAGAGTGCTGGGTGTTCTTTCTGAGGTATAAAATATAACGAAGAAGAAACTTGGCACCTTTGTAAAAGAGAGACATATTCACTAGAGAGAAAGACGAAGATT